TCTTTTTGGCACCAGGGACTGGTTTCATGGAAGACAATTTTTCCACAGACGAAGGGGATGGTTTTGGGATGATTCAAGAGCATTACATTTACTATCCAGTCAAACCTCTCTGCCAATGATAATCTGTATTTGCAGCCCCTCCCCAGCTCCATCTCAGATCATCAGGCATTAGATTCTCACAAGGAGCTCGCAACCTAGATCCCTCACATGTGCAATTTACAGCAGAGTTCAGGCTCCTATGATAATCTAATGCTGCCACTGGTCTGACAGGAAGCAGTGCTCAGGCAATGGTGCAAGCAATGGGGAGCAGCTATAAATAGAGATGAAGCTTCGCTAGCTCAGATCCTGCTGTGCAGCATGGATCCTAACAGGCCAGGGACCAGTACTAGTACGTGGCCCAGGGGTTGGGGACCATGGGAAAGGCTTGTATCCAAAATATACAAAGAACCGTGGAGGCTAAAAGATAGTGAAACATTTTTAAAGTATTGAAAGAAAACTGTCAACCCTGAATACCGTATCATCAAAAATAACCTTTGAGGAGTGAAGGAAAAATACATTCTCAGACAAAGAAAAACTAAGAAAATTTGTCACCAGTAGACCTGCTTTAAAAGAAAAGCAAATGAAAGTTCTGCAGGCAGAAGGCCAAAGACAGCATAGGGAATCCTAGAATGCTTGGAATGAAAAATTATAGAAATGGTGATTATCTAAGTAAATAAACTGTTGTTTACTTTTTAGGTTTCTAAGAATACATGACTGTTGAAAGCAAAATGTGACTGATAGGATTTTTTTTTTTTTTTATTGAGACAGAGTCTCACTCTGTTGCCCTGACTAGAGTGAGTGCCGTGGCATCATCCTAGCTCACAGCAACCTCACACTCCTGGGCTCAAGCGATCCTCCTGCCTCAGCCTCCCGAGTAGCTGGGACTACAGGCATGCGCCACCATACCTGGCTAATTTTTTCTATATTTTTAGTTGTCCAGATAATTTCTTTCTATTTTTTTTAGTAGAGACGGGGTCTCGCTCTTGCTCAGGCTGGTCTCCACACGATAGTCACCATCATAATGGAAGAGTGTTAAAAATCTATATAGTTCTAATACTTCTATATTTTACTTGAAAAGGAAAAATAGTAATTCTAAATAGTTTCTTTAAAGTGTAGTGTGCATATTATAATCTCTAGAGCTACCACTAAAAAACTATATGAAGAAATGGTTAAAATTATAGGAAATTTTAAAAGAATTCTGAAAAACTATAATTCAAAAGAAGGCAGGAAAGGGAAATCAGAGTAATGAAAAATAGAAGGGACATACACAAACTAAATATCAAGTAATAAATCTGAATCAAAGAATGTCACAAATTACATTAAATAAATGTAAATGGTCTGAACATCAATAAAAACAGATTAATGAGATTTAAAAAACACTAACAAAATGCTGTCTACAAAAAAAAATAAGGATAAGTGAAAAGTGAAAATATTGAACATACATATTCTACACAAATCCACACACTTGCATACATAAAGAAGTCTGAGTGACTGTATCAATATCAGACAAAGTAGACTTCAGAAAAATCACAAGGGATAAAGAAGAATGATCATGATAAAAGGGTGGACTTATCACTTCTGCAATGGCAGAGTGAGAACCACCGTAAATACGGCCCCCCATAAAAGCAACAAGAACACTTAACAAAGGTGATCAAAACCAACTTTTTCATCAACTTTGGAAATTAACCAAAGATTACAACAATCTGAGGAATGTTTGTTCAAACTGAGCTTCGGTTAAAAAAAAAAAAAAGGCTAGGTTTCTGGCAGTGACCTACTCTCACATTCCTGTGTCCCTTTCCCACCCTCAGCTATGTAGTGGCTTTAAAAACAGCCAGACAACCACGCTAAAAAGATCAGTGGTTGCCAGGGATTAAGGGTGAGGGGAGGGGTAAAGAGGCAGAGCACAGAGGATTTTTTAAGACAGTGAAACCACTATATATAATATTGTGTACATGACATTCATTCATCACATATCTGCCAAGGTCCAAAGAATGTACAACACCAAGACTGAACCCCAAAGTAAACTCTGAACTTTGGGTGATGATGCATGAATGCAGAATCCCTGACTGTAACAAATGTACCACTGTGGTGCAGGAGTTGATAAGGGAGGCCGTGCCTATGTAGGGGCAGGGGATATATGAGAAATCTCTGTACCTTCCACTCCATTATGCTGTGAACCCAGAACTGCTTCAGCCCAGAGTTCGAGGTTACAGTGAACTATGTTGATGCCACTGCACTCAGGCTACAGAGCAAGACTCTGTCTCAAAAAAAGAAAAAGGGGGTAGGGGGGAGCTAGAAAATAAAGAAAGAACTAAACTCAAAGCAAGCAGAAGGAAGGAAATAAGAGACTAGAGCAGAAATAAATGAGACACAGGATGGAAAATCAACAGAAAAATTAACAAAACCAAGAGATGATAAAGTACAAGAAGCAAAAATTAACAGACAAATCCACAACTTTGCTTGATAACACATCTCTCAGTAAGTGACAGAAGTAGCAGACAAAAAATTAGCAAGGATATATTAGATCTGAACAACATAGTATCAACTAATTTCACCTAATTTAATATTTATAAAACACTATTCATGCAAAAACAGCAAACTACACAATCTTCTTAGCCTATCACCAAGATAGGCTTCACTGAATTTATAAAAATTGAAGTTATTGAAAATATTTTCATTTACCATAATGGAATTAAACTAGAAATCACTAACAGAATGATACTTGGAAAACCACCAAATATTTGGAAATGGCATATTACTATCTAATGCATACATCAAAAAGAATACCTCAAGGAAAACAAGAAAATATTCTAAACTGAATGAAAGAGAAAATACTACTTGTTACAACTTGGAGAATGCAATTAAACAGTACTTAGAGGGAAACTTACAGTATTACTTATATTAGAAATGAAGAATGGTCTTAAATCTGTAATTTAAGCTTCCACTTTAAGAAACTAGAAAAAAAGCAAAATAAACCTAAGGCAAGAAGGAAATACTAAAAAGTAGAAATCGATTACATTGAACATGGGAAAAATAGATTAAAACAAACAAACAAAAAACCCAATGAAGCCAAAATCTGTTTCTAATGAAAAATAGCATCAATGAAACTGATAAACCTCTAATTAGGTCAACCACAAAATATTAGGAAGAGAAAATGGAATATTTCAATCCTGAACCAACAAACAAATTAAAACCTTAATAAGTGATTACCAGGAACAACTCTACACACACAAATTTGACACCACTTCCTTAAAAGACTCAAATTACTAAAATTCAAGAATAAGGCGATTACCTGGATAATCCCAACAGTCCTCCATCTATTATAGTCCTCTATTTATTGTATTTTAAAAATCTTGTTAGGTATGGTGGCTCATGCCTGTAATCCTAGCACTTTGGGAGGCCAAGGTGGGAGGATCACCTGAGGCTGGGAGTTTGAGAGCAGCCTGAGTAATATAGTGAGAACCCGTCTCTACAAAAAATAGAAAAATTAGCCAGGCGTGGTGGTGCACACCCGTAGTCCCAGCTACTCTGGACGCTAAGGCAGGAGGATCACTTGAGCCCAGGAGTTTGAGGTTACAGTGAGCTATGATGATGTCACTGCACTCTACCCTAAGCAATAAAGTGAGAAAAGGAAAAGGGGAAAAGGAGAAAAGCGGTAAGGAAAGGAAAAAGGAGAGGAGAGAGGGGAGGGGAGAGGGGAGGGGAGAGGGGAGAGGAAAGGAAAAAGGAAAGGAAAGGGGGAAAAGGAAAAGGAAAAGAGAGAGAAGGGAAAGAAAGGAGGGAAGGGAAGGAAGGGAAGAAGGAAAGAAGGAAGAGGAGAGGGGAAAGGGAGTAAGCGGAGGAAGGGGAGGAAGAAAGAAACTTAAGAAAATTCCAGACACAGATGGTTTCATTGGTGAAAACTACCAAACATTTAAAGGAGAAACTGCACCAATTCAACATACTCTATTCCAGAAAACAGCAGTACAGGAAATATTTCCCATTTCATTTTATGATACCAGTATTACTTTTTTTTTTTTTTTTAATGAGACAAGGTCTCACACCATGTTGCCCAGGATGCAGTGCAGTGGCTATTCACATGTGCAATCATAGCATGCTGCAGCCTAACTTAAGCAATCCTCCTGCCTCAGCCTCCTAAGTAGCTGGGACTACAGACATAGGCCCCCAGGGCCAAGCCCAGCCAGCATTACTCTTATATGTAAGCCAAAAACAATACCAGAAAAAAAAACTACTAATCAATGATGAATTGATGAATATAAATCCAAAAATCTGTAACAAAATTTATGCCAAATGAATCCTATCACATATCATGACCAAGTGAGGTTTATCCCAGGAATGCAAAATTAGTTTTCTGAACATTTGAAAAATCAATGTCATTCACAGATTTAAAAAAAAGGAACCACATGATCACATCAATAGAGTAAAAAAAATTGACAAACTTCAACATTCACTTAAGGTAAAAATTCTCAACAACTTCGGGTGACAATGATGTATCAGTGTAGGTTTATCAATTGTAACAAATGTATAATCTTATCTTCTCATAGAAATTTTATAATGCTTATTTATATCCACAAAGAATCCTGGTAGGGTTTTGAATGGTAATATGTTAAATCTATAGATCAATTTTGGGAAAACTGGAATTCTATTTTGAATGTTCCAATCCATTAACAGTATGCCTCTTCATTTATTTGGATCTTTCCTTTACTTCATCAGTGTTTTGTCGTTTTCTCAGCATATAGATCCTATACATACTGTGTAGAACAAAATTCCTCCTGCCCTGGCCATAGCTGATTGGTAGACTCCTAAATCCACAACCCATTGTTACCACGTGGTAAGAAGATTCTACAGTTTACTGAATCAACAAAGGCAACAGGACCAAAAGGAAAATGACACCCTTACTTGAGCTTCCTGAACTTTTTGCAGCTCTGACTGAAAGTCTTCCCCATTTCCAGTGTCTTCATCAGTATCACTGTAGACTCCACAGAAAAATGTAGGTGGAAGTTTTAATGTATCTGCTTTTGCCTTCTCTTCAACTGTTGGTTTCTTTTCCCAAACAATAACACAATCCTTCTCATTATCTGAAAAGTCCACACAACACAAGCAAAAGGTAAAATTAGATGAAGTCCAACTATTCTACAACAATGGTCATAATCAGTGGTCCTCAATGTAATGTACAGACCCAGGTAACAAGACCTGTTAATGCTAATGAAGAATAAGAACCACCAGGAAAACCATGTTTTTCACCTAATATTAGTTTTAAGTACTTTAAATCACCATGGGCATATTACGTAAGTAAAATTGATCAGAATTAATCAGACTAGGTTATTTCTTTTAAATATAGAAAATCTGATAAAAGCATTATAAACAGTCATTTAAACATACCGGTTAGATTTTCTTCCAATGGCCAACATTTTTCCGAGTCATCCAGATATAGTTTTCCATTAAGTTTCTTGACAGCTGTTTCGAAATCTTCATCTTAAAGGACAATTGAGTAAAAGAATTTCTAGTAAGTTTCAGGGGTTTCCTAGCCAAAAACCTAGGGATTATCTCCAACCTCACTCTTTCCCTCATTCTCGACATCCAAATAGCAGCCGATTTTGCCAATTCCATATTCTTAATAACTATCCTACTATTAGAGCTTTAGCTTGGCTTCTCTTCTTGTTTGAGCTGTGCTACTATCATTTTATTAATAGCTCACTGTCCAGTTTCTTTGTCCCACAACCCAATCCTCACCACTGCCCAACTAATTAAGCTATAATCTCAATTACTAAGATTAGCAGGAACAGAGGGTTTTTAAAATAACAAAAAATTTACCATCCTCCTCTTCTTCACTAACATAATCTGGTCTATTCTTATAGCAGAAGAAAGTTGAAGGAAGTTTAAGTTTGGTTGCAAGGGCTCTTTGCTCAGCAGTTGGAGTTAGTTCATACACAATGAGAACTTCGTCATCTGAGGGAGGATCTTCAGGTTTTTCCTTCTCTTTTGCTATAACACAAGTCAAAAAAATTTATAAAAACAAGGTATTAAGTATTGTCAACATCAATAACTGAAAATAAAAACCACAGGACTTATCTATAGGTTAAAACAGCATACTGATATAAAAACACACATACTTTGATGCAGACAGAGCTCTATGACAATCATGAATTAGAATTAATATCCTGATTTAGCATAATACCAAAAACGCTTAGTGAACATAGAATCTATTTAAAACCAAAAAAACCTATTTCTTTACAAGTCATTGAAAAGAATTACTAATTTCTATAATTTAAAAACGCATTTAGAAAGTGTTGCCATAATCATATGTAATACTAAACAATAGTTCATAAAAATATCCATGCATTTGCAAATGAAAAAAGTCTTAAGGAAAACATAAGCAAAGATTAGTATACATATGAAACTAATCCAAAGCTAACCTTGATTAGTTTCTATAAGGAAAGTTATAATTGCCAAGGATGACAGGTGATTAGAGTTACATCCAGTTTTGCATATTTCCAAGCATGATACTAGACAAAATTAAATAAAAACTGCTATCCTATGGCTAAGTAGTACTGTATAATCTAAGACAATTTCTGTAACTTAAAAACACTCCTGCTCAAGCCCCGCCAATGGAAAGGGCAAAAAATAAGAGGGAGAAAGGAATTCTGTACGCAATTTGTTATGGTCTAGAAAGAAGAATTTCTGGCTAAAGGAAGTGATAAAGTAAGCCAGTCATGAAGCACGCCATGTACCAACTAGTGCTAGGGAAAAATTCTCTAGAGCTACGCTGTCCAATATGGTAGCCTAGCAACATGTGGCTATTAAATCCTTGAAAGGTAGCTAGTCCAAATTAGTGCTATGAGTGTAAATATACAGAATGGATTTTGAAGACTTGGCATTAAAAAATGTAAACTATCGTATTTATTTTTTATACTGATTAGAAGTTAAAATGATATTTTGGACATGAGTTAAATCAAATATATTATTAAAATTGTTTCCCTTTTTTTAAAACTTGTTTTATTTATTTTTTTAAAATATGGCTATTAGAAAATTTCAAATTACATATACTGGTCACATTTTATTTCTACTGGATGAAACCACTCTACAGAGAACCAGAGCCCTTCCTTTTACAATGTTAAAACTTGCGCCTCTCCCTCATTATAAATAAAAACTTAGTTCCTAGCTGGGGACAATAAAAGTACACTATAAGATACAAATTCTTGTTCCAGTTCTGCTATTACCTGGTAAAGATACTGTGGGTAAATCAGATAGCCTCTCAGGGCCTGTTTCTTCATGTCTAAAGTCTTCATTTCTAAGGTCCTTCCGGACTATGACATTATCAGATTTAAAACAGAATAAGGCTCTCTGTCCTGCAGTAGTATGTTGGTAAATCTGCTCTTAGACCAGGGATTCTTAACCTAGACCCACAGAGACTAAGTGCAAGTGTATATCCATTTTTTTTTTTTACGAAGTCCACGCTCTTCATGTAATTTCTCAAAGACTACATCTTTAAAAATAAAAGATTTCTTTAAGAACTGCCTTAGCTAGTAACGTAACTGGTATACTTTAAAACTAAAAACCGCAGGAATCAAGGACTGTTACTTCATCACTGTTCTTGTCTGGCATGCTCCAGATGTGTTATTGGACAAAAATGGTGAGCTTTCATTTCCTAATCTTGCTCTTGAAGGTCTTCAACAGATTCCACTTTCTACTGTTCCACTCTAGTAGCAACACTTCTACAAATGATCTGTGCTACATATATAACATACGAGCTATAGAATGGTGGCTGTTAAAAATGGGGTCCACTCTCAAATATAATACTTTTCTAAACCATGTACAAATGGATAGTCCTAAAGGGACATTCTATTCCATACTGTATACACACTGCTGCCATCACGTTTCAATACCGGCAGACATTAGTGGCTAAAGATAAAGGTTAGATGAAACACAGGTCTTCGTTAAGCAGAACGCAAATAACAGAGCAATGAAGTACAACACAGCAAAAAATAACAATGTTTAACAGTGAGAAAACATGACACCCAAGTACATTAAAAGAAAAAAAAAAGGGTGTCATACCACCAGTCAAAAGGTACTTTTGCTTAAACTGGCATTCTTTAACATGCATGTTGTAGTGTTAAGTACTTTAATTCCATACAGCCATAGTTACTTTGCTAAGGACTAACAGCTGCTAAAAATTGCTATCATCTCATACTGAGAATGCTAGCTCTATACCTTTGCTCTCAGGTTGTGAGGAAGGGGTGCTGTTCCAAAAGGCCATGGGATTAGATTTAAAAAGGCTAAAATTAAATCCTAGAAAATAAAGAATATTTCATTTTTGAACACATTGGGACAAAATGAATATGATTTTAAAATATAAAAAGCTAGAGTCCCTCAATTTATATCAATCTGGTTGTCTTACATCCTCATTTATCCTGGTGGTTTCATTCTTTGCTCACTTAATAAACGGTGGCACGACTAACATAAAATGTGAACATCTCAATACTATGTTGAGTGATAAGAAAAAATAATAAATTGAAAACTGAAAATGAAGATAAAAAGATTTGCATTAATGTTCATGATTCAAGTAGTCCTTATACTATATCGAGTTCTTTTGCTCTGCCCTAGCATGATATAAATATCTTCCAGTGAAATCTCTTTTATGACTTAAAATCTCTTGCCGTTTGAATACCCATGGTGAACTTATTTAGGTAGATAAAAATATGCTTGACTATTTTTTGGGTGTTTACAAAGTAATGCTTATGATGCAACTTTGACTACAACATTAGCATCCTACAAAGAGTCTGCATCAAGATAAACATTAAAAGGAAAAAAACAAAAAAAACTATTCTTAACTCTCAAGACTAAGCACTTACCCTTTTCTGGTGTTTTAAATGTGTAATTAATGGAGGACTCTTCCTTTGGAAAGGAAGCAAAGAGATTCTTGACTTTGCCTTCAGAAGATTGTTTGGTATCAGTGTTCTTTGACAGCTCACATTCGTTAGGTTCCACTTTTCTTTCAGATCCACTCTGGACTACTGAACTAGTTCCACTGTTGCTATTTTTCAAAGGTGCCTTAAAACTAAATCCAAACAGAGACCCAGTGGCTGAACTGTTGCCAAATGCAAATGGTTTTGACTTTTCACTACTAAAAATGCTTTTAACAGACTCTGAACCAAATACAAACTTTGGAGGAGAAACCACTGCTTTTGTTGTTTCAGATGTGCTAGAAACTTCTCCAACTTCTGAAGTTGCATCTGTTACACTGTCACCCTGAATTAAATCTGTCCTCTCTCTTGTGGTTTCTTCTAGTACAGCTACAGCAATTTTGCCACATGGCGACTCTCTGGGAGTGCTTGAACGAGAAACATGAGGTGTTATCAAAGAATCTTTTTCTTGGGCTGTTTTTGCTTCATCAAAAATTTTCTTAAAGGAGTCTGCAACATCCTGTAGTTTAAAACGGACAGCTAAATGTTCTACTTTTCTTTCTCCATCTGCAAAATCACATGCAGTCCACACCCACACTCTTTCTGTCCCTTTCATATTTTGCAAAGTCATGTCTGGCGTTATTCTGTGATTGGCACAAAGTTTTAGTACCTGGTCCCTTCTCATCACTATACGAACTTGCTTGTTATCGTAATTCTGTAAAATCTTTATATCGCCGATGCCCCTTTCTTTCCACTGACCAACATCTTTATCATATCTGTAGAGTTTTGCCCTGTGACTAAAAACAACTTGTTCATTTTCCTCACCACTGGATACTTCGACTAGATCAGGTAAAGGTACAACAGGTTCAAAGTACTGTCCATCTCTCTCTTCTTCTTGAGGAACATCAGATTCTTCATCAGTGCCGACTGAAGTTCCACTCTGATTCAACTTGGCAGGAGACTTAGATGGACTCAAAGCAGATTTAAAACTGAAATTAAATCCTGTTGTTGACTCACCAAAGCGGAAAAGATTTTTTCTCACGGGGCTGCTTGCCAATGGAGACGCATGTACTGAGCTACTACTAACACTATCATCCAAAGCATCTTCCCTTAAATCATAGTTATCCCATTCCAATGAGGGCCCAGTGTTTTCAGGATTTGGCTTGATTGTTGTGTCTGAAGCACTGGCAACACCTGTACCTAAACTCTTATTCTCTTCATCAGTAACTTTTGTTTGATCATTTGTCAAAAATGTTTTGAAATCTTTCAGTCCACTCTTCATTTCTTCAGCTCTCTGTATTAATTTGGCAGCTCTGCCAGTATCTACAAGTTTATGGGGAGTCTGAAGTGGTATATCTAACAGAAGTCGCTGGCACTCCTCAAATTTCTGCTTGAATTCTTCAGCCAGCTCTGGTGTTTTAAATTTTGCTGCCAACTGCTCTAGTTTGGCATCACCATCAGAGAAATCACTAGCTAACCACATCCATGCTCTATCTGATCCAGAGAGAGGTTTCAGGTTCATTGTAGTTGTTATCCAATGATTAGCACACACTTTTAGCACTTGTTCTCTCCGCATCAGCATTCGTAGTTTGCCATTCACCTCATTTTTGAGAATTTTTAAGTTTCCCAAACCCCTTTCTTTCCACTGACTTATCTCAGCATCAAATCTAAATAATTTTACCCGCTGTGAATACAGAACCTTTTCATCTTCTTCGCCTGTTACAAGTTCCACTTTTTCAGGCATTTGAACTACTGGTTCAAAATGAATATCATCACTGTCCTCAGTTTTATAGGCATCATCATCTTTCTCAAGGTCAGCAGAAGTGTTGGCTTTATCAGCCACTTTACCACTCTGTGATGAGAATAATTTTTCTCCAGCACCTGAAAATCCCTTGAAATTAGGGTCTTTTTTGCCAAATTGAAATCCTTCTCCTGAAGTTGATTTTGCAAGATCTGCAAAGGTAAAAGTGCTACCTGTTTGACCAAAAATCACACCATTACCATTCTTTTGGCTACTAACATCCTGAGCGTGGACACCAGTGTCATTTTCAAGGTGCTTTTCACTCTTCTTCTCTTGATTTCCTGGTTCCTGAATGCCAAATTTAAATCCATCAGCAGACGAAGGAATGGAAAAACTAAATCCTTCTTTTGTTGACTTGGATTCTGTATTAGAAGAACCCTGAAATGTAAATGAAGGTATATTTACTTGATCCACATGCCCAAATTTAAAGCCTTGCTCTTTGCTGCCAAATTTAAAAGCTTTTTCTGAAAAGTTACTTTTAAATCCTGTTCCCACCTGACTTCCAGAAGAGTCATTTAACTTTGTTTTTGAGCCCAATGTGAAAGCTGAAGGAACTTCTGCAACAGATTTATCAGTCGGTTTGGAGGAATCACAAGCCACACATTTTAAAGAAGAACTCTCATTTTGTACAAAGCAAACACCACAATCCCACTGCCCTTCCTTTTTGGTGAACACTCCTTCAAATCCACTCTTTGGAGCCTTGCTTATCTCTGAAGAGGCAGGTGCTGAAATAGCTGAAGTAGGCTGACTCTGTTTACTTGGATTCTGACAAGCAACACATTTGGTGGCACTGGCTTCATTTCTTACCAAGCATGAACTGCAATCCCACTGTCCTTCCTTCTTGGTGAACATTCCCTCAAACCCACTCTTTGGACCCTTGCTTGTCTCTGAAGAGGCCGGTGCTGAAGGAGCAAAAGTAGACTGATTCTGTTTACTTGGATTCTGACAAGCAACACATTTGGTGGCACTGGCTTCATTTCTTACCAAGCATGAACTGCAATCCCACTGTCCTTCCTTCTTGGTGAACATTCCCTCAAACCCACTCTTTGGAGCCTTGCTTATCTCTGAAGAGGCCGGTGCTGAAGGAGCAAAAGTAGACTGATTCTGTTTACCTGGATTCTGACAAGCAACACATTTGGTGGCACTGGCTTCATTTCTTACCAAGCATGAACTGCAATCCCACTGTCCTTCCTTCTTGGTGAACATTCCCTCAAACCCACTCTTCGGACCCTTGCTTGTCTCTGAAGAGGCAGGTGCTGAAGGAGCAAAAGTAGACTGATTCTGTTTACTTGGATTCTGACAAGCAACACATTTGGTGGCACTGGCTTCATTTCTTACGAAGCACACACTACAATCCCACTGTCCTTCCTTCTTGGTGAACATTCCTTCAAACCCACTCTTTGGAGTCTTGTTTGTCTCTGAAGTACCAAACTTAAAAGAGGCAGGAGCTGGAACAGCAGAAGTAGATGGACTTGGTTTACTTGGATTCTGACAAGCAACACATTTTGTAGCATTTGCTTCATTTCGCACTAAGCATGAACTGCAATCCCACTGTCCTTCCTTCTTGGCAAACATGTCCTCAAATCCACTCTTTGGAGTTTTACTTATCTCTGAAGTACCAAACTTAAAAGAGGCAGGTGCTGAAACAGAAGTAATAGGTAGACTTTGTTTTCTCGGATTCTGACAAGCAACACATTTTGTAGAGCTTCCCTCATTGTGCACTGAACATATACCACAATCCCACTGTCCCTCCTTTGTAGAAAAAACAGATCTGAAATCACTGTTAACAGACTTAGGAAGATCTCCCTGGCCGAATTTAAAGGAAGGTTGATGAACAAATGAAGATCCACTTTTGTTAGCAGATTTTGTATTCTGGCATGCAATGCACCTAGTTACAGTAGGTTCATTTCTTACTAAACAAATACTGCAATCCCAGTGGCCTTCTTTCTTTGGAGTCATCAATGCAAATCTGTCTTGAGCATTCTCTGGGCCAGTTTTAGGAGCAAAACCAGTTTCAAGTAATGGTGGGCCAACAAGCTCTTTATTGCTTGGGTTTAGATTTTGGCATGATACACATTTCTTAGCAGTTGCAGCATTCTTTAATGAGCAGCTGTTACAATGCCACCAAGACCCTTCTTTCTTTGCAACTTGAAATTCAAAATTCATGTTTCCAGCGTCAGATTTGCAAATATCCTTGTTATCATGACTTGTGGGTTCTTTTGCCATTCTGACAGTCTGATTTGGAGCTGTGGCTACATTTGTTCCTATGGCTTTTAAAATGCTCTGGGCCTCTTCAAACTTGCACTTAAAAAGTGCTGCTTCCTCAGGAGTTTTAAATCTAATAGCAAGTTGTTCTGGTTTGGGCAGCTCATCTGCATAATCAAGGGCATGCCATACAAAAGATCGGTCTGATCCAGCATTTGGTGTCAGTTTCATATCTGGACTGATGTAATGATTTGCACAGATTTTCAGTACTTGCTCTCGTCTCATTAGAAGGCGAATTTTGCCAGATGTTTTATGCCTTAGTATTTTTACATTGCCAATCCCACGTTCCTTCCATTCTTTTGATTCTCCATCAAAACGGAACAATTTTGCACGATTGCAAAAGAATTCTTCTTCATCTTCTTCTCCAGTTTTTACTTCAATCTTATCAGGAAGAGGTACCACAGGCTCAAAGTGAGGGCCATCATCATCATCATCACCATGGGCACTTCCTCCATCCGTTTCATGATTCTTGTTTGCCAACTCTGGAGTGGGTGTTCCAAATATTGATTTCCCTGGACCATGGAAAGTAAACATATCATCGCTTCGACGAAAACCAGAATTCTTTTGCTGACTTGGTCCCATGTTTTCGGTAAATGGAATTCCTGGCATATTTTTGCTTCCAAAATTGAATGTAGTTCGAGGTCCAATGGTTTGGCTAGGAATTGGTTTTGGTCCACTATAGCCATCTCCTTGCAAAGGTTTATCTGAAGTCAGGAGACCTAAAAGGCATTCATTGTTACTGAAAGCTGCAGAAGAGGGATGTGTCACTACCTGTGGTGAGGAAAATGTGAAGTCACCATCATTTGATTTGAAATTTGAGTTAAATTTAAAAGGAGGTGGCTGTGTTGTATGTGCTGGTGTTGTCAAAGATGGCCTTATTCCTTCGGCTGGCATGGGCTGAACAAAATTAGGTTTTCCAAATTCCATAACCTTAGATTCTGCAGATCTCGAAGCATGAGCTGCAACTGGAGGTTTTGTGAAATACCCTGGTTCTGGCAAAGGTGGATTTGTGCTTGTCTGTTGAACATTGTAATTAAAGTAATCATCGCCCCTGGGTGACAGAATTCCTGTTGCAGGGGACTCAAAACGCAATGTAGGAGGACCATACATCTCCTGAGAGAACATACAAGCAGATGAGCTTTGCACTGGTGGTGTGTGCATCTGTTGTGAATAGGTATAAATATGCTGTTGGGGTGGAAGCCTATTCATTCCATACACTGGACCCTAAAAGAGAGAAAGTAAAATATTTTGTAGATCATCTACAAAACTACAGATAAGTAGATACAAATCAATTCTCATAAACTTTAGGGATAAATATTATTAGGAAAAGAAGTTATCATTAGGGAATACAGCACATAATTAAAAGAGGACAACATTACTGTAAAGATATCTGCGTATATACTTGGCATATAATAAAGATTAACAACAGCATCTTAAAAATCTATTTCTACAATAAATCCACAGAATATCTTCTTCATTCCTAAACAATTTATCAAATGATGTTAAAAATACTACTACTAATGATGATGATGATGATGATGAAGACTAACATTTATTGAGCATTTTTTAATGTGCCAATTGGTCACTGTTCTAAGCACTTTATATCTATTATCTCATTTTAATATCCTCAAAAACCCTATGAATTAAGGTATTATTATTATCCTCATTTTACATATGAGGTAACAGAAGCAGTGAGAGATTAAGAAACTAGCCCGGGGCCACAATAAACAGAAGAGGAAGGGTCTAGGTGCACCTCAACCCTCTGTCCTCAAAGCCCTCACATTCAGATACTATTGTAGTTTTAGGTCTTAATCAATAGTTATATAGCCATATCAGGCCTAAAAGTACTTACCATATAGTGTTTCAGCAAGGACATTCTAGTTCTATTTCTGCCAAAACAGGACGATGAATGACCCATCACCACCACCACTCTCATTTTAAAAATATTCTAAATGTTCACACTTATTATAACATAAAAATAAGGTGACTAAGAAGTATAACTTCTGTATCTGGAGATTAAAAGTATCCATATTTTATGGGACATATAAGTTTTAATACTGAACTACTCCTTGAATTTTTTTGAAGGAATCCTAAACAATTAAAAAGAAGATACTTATAAATGTATAAATTATTCCTTTGTTACCTTTGTGGGAGTAACATTAGCTGCTGGTCTGAGAAGATACTGGGAATTATATGCTGGTGACTGACTATAATATGAAGGGCCAGTAGTTGCAACTAAAAAAAAAAAAGGAAAAAAAAAAGAGAACACTGTTAAAGTCTATACTACAGTTATAACTATCCAGGAAAGAACTATAAATACAAAAGCAAAGAAATCAAAGAAAGATTTAACTACATAGATTTTTTTAAATTTCTGTACATCAAAATATACCAATCAAGGAGATTATCAAATGATAAACCAGACAAAACTGCTAAATATGACACAAAGAATAAGAGAATAGCACTGCTGCGATCAAGAACAAGCACCTAACAAGCATCAAAAAAGGAAGCAAGAAGAAAGTAGTTGGTCCATTTTCTAAGAAAGATCAATATGATGTGAAAGCACAGAATGCTCAACATCAGAAATATTGGGAATATACTAGTCATAGAAAGGACTTATGGAACCAAAGTGCAAGTGAATCTTGAAAATCTGCAGAATGAGGAGGCTGCATTTGGTAAACTAAAGCTATTACTGAGAATGTACAGGTTAAAAATCAACTGACAAATTCGTGGAAAGGATCTCACAAGTAACATGAAATGAGTTCCCCTGGCATTAAAGAGGGGAAAAAAGCAAATCACCACTTAGGTGGATATACAAACTATGTGCTCCATCTGTTTTGTGTGAGTTTTATGAGGAAGCCAAACAACTCTAGAAGGTACTCATGTTAATGGCAAAACTATTTGCCCTGACAGTTTTACCAGAAAACAAAACAACCAAAAGACCTTTTAGGCCTGTACATGGAAGAAGAAATGGAAATGTGCCCCAAAGGTTCCAAACAACTGTCTCTGGGAAGCACTGAAAAAATACCTAGAAAAGGCTAGTCACAAGCCCAAGTCTGAAACTGGAAACTGAACAGAACTGCCTAGCGAGGATGGTTATCTTAGAATTACTATGGGGAGGAAATAGGCATAGAACACAGAGTAAGCTAATAGACACGAGCCAAGAATTGTGAAGTCTGAAGTTTAACTAGGGACTTTATCCTTGACCACTGACTCTTAACAGTGAAGAAAAAATTAAAAGGAGCTCTTATAAATCCATTAAAAATAATCTAATAAAAAAAGCACCACATAAATAGACAATTCAGGACAGAAATATAAAAAGGCCTCAAGGGCTATATTTTTGAACTGGGCCTTGAAAATCTGCAGAATGATGAGGTTACACTCAAGCTATTACTGAGAATGTTCAGGTCAAAAAAATCATCTGACAAATTCCTGGGAAAGATCTCAGAAGGAACACAAATATGCTCCTTGGCTTAGGGGGAAAAAAAAAAGCACATCAACTTTCATGTTGATACACAAACTATCTGCCCCATCTGTTTTGTGTTTTACCAGGAAAGCAAACTAGAAAAGGCACTCATGTTGGCAAAACTACTAACAGTCATTTGCATGAACTGTTGAGCATGTTGAAGTGTTGAACACGCCTAGTATAAAAAAAACTTTAAAAATTTATATCATATGTGTTCCTACAAATTGCTAAAGGTTTTTACAAACTGAAAAGTCAACGCTACCAAGAGCACAAAGATGGCACTATCAGATATTAGTGGTAAGAGTGTAAACTAATTTTTAAAATATCCTACAATCAAAGGACTGTGCCCTAGGATTTATAATAGCACAAACTGGAAACCACATAAATAAGGCAATAGAATTTACAGTATTTCCACATGATGGGATATTACAAGCCCATTAAAATTCAAAGAAAATTTAATTTTAAAAATGCTAACAAAATAATAACAAAAAAGGCTAAGTTGTCTACATACAACACAGTAACATGGTTAAAAACCTTATAAAAAATACTTTATGTATACAAAGAAAAAGAACCAGAAGGGAATGCTCCAAAATGTTAATAGGAGTATGTGATAAGAAGGTGGTTAGTTTTTAGTTGTCTTTACATTGTTCCATACTTCTGAGAATGTCTTATAGGCTTATCAATCTTTGCTTTTAAATAACCACCTTGATACATTTTTACTTTTACTAAGGGGGAAAAAAAAAAAAGCCTATGAACACAGGAATAGGAATCGGGAGACCTGGGTTCTCTCCCTTTTAGTGCCACAAAGCTACTTTGTGACCCCACTGTCAATAAGCCATTTGGAGTCTCAATTGTAAAATGAGGATGGGCTGCTTCTACACATTTCATAGGGTCATTGCAAGAATAAAATGAGACAATGTAAATGTTGTGCTTATGTGCTTGTACAATACCAGAAGGCCTTTTATGCTTGTACAGAGAAGAAATGGAAATTGTGTCTCAAAAGATGCCAAATGACTAACTGCACATGGCAGTGAAAAAGCCCTGGAAAAGGCTAGCCAGTCTATTTACCCTCTCTTACAAGTCACTATACAATGCACAGGAGTTTTACGTAAGCAAGGTTTGAACTCTAGACATCTCATATACTTAGCTATGACTTGTAACATTTAATCAGCTTTATTTCACAAAGATTTTCTGTTATTTTGCTTGCATTTAGGAGACACTCTCACAAGAGGCTGGTGGAGTTGCTGTAAGTATGAACCATCACACAAACGTGCTAATCTAAATGAGACCTTATCATTCTAATTCTTTCCTAGGCTAAAAGCAATTAGAAAAAAACATGCACTACTACTATTTCAGCAGTCTGTCTGATGTAAAAGATGACACATTGCCCCCTGTCATTTCTGGCTGCCAGGGGGAATGTATCATATTAGCAAGCACTGAGGAGTTAATACTACTTGAGTTTGAATTCCAGCTCTATCAATAACTAGCTGTATAATAATGGTTAAGTTATCTAACCTTCCCAAACCCATTTCCTCATTTATAAAACTGGGATTAATAGTGGTATCTACCACTCTGAGTTACTGTGATTAAATAAAATTACATTCACAAAGCACTTTTGCGCATAGGCAAATCACAGTAAGCACTATTAGTAACTTTAGTGCATTAAGTGTTTACTGTATACTATGATCAATGCCTAATACACACCTACACCCACCCACATATATGCTCATAGTGATTATGGGAAGTATTATCTCCATGTTTCAGAGAGGTTAACTTAACACAGCTAGTATGTGATATAACACATCTTAAAAACCCAATATGGCCTAGGTCCTAACTTCTTTTCCTTCTATATATAGCTATAATATTTCAAAATAAATAACACTTCCTATTAATGTCCTGTCTCTCAGTATATCAAAATAATTTCCCAGATATTTAAGTTCTTCATTAGATATCTGTTACTGCATAACTTTATTAACATTTTTCAATTTAAGGAATAATCCCATCTCAGAGTCAAGTTTATCTGAGGTGACAGGGTGCATTAAAGGGTTCTTTAAGCCCTTATATACGTCAGATCAGATCAAACTTGTTTTGTTTCTGCTTGGAATTATAAAAATCTCTGTAATACCAAATACAGTTTTTTAAGTAACACATAAACAGACAGATATTAACATGTATATAAACAGACATGGTGATTTCACAACTTATCTATTTAAAAGAGGGACATTAAAGTGGTTTTACTAAAATGTGGGATTATCCAATTGCCAGTTCACCTGTTAGTGGAGCCCCATGAAAAGTCTGTGATCCCTGATATCCATCAGGCACTGCATCTGGTCCATAATTCTCTGTGGGCCAACGATGAGGGGATGCTGAGTTACTGCTATTTAGTTTCAATTCCTGCATTTCTTTCT